GAAGGAAGGAAGGAAGGAAGGAAGGAAGGAAGGAAGGAAGGAAGGAAGGAAGGAAGGTAAAAAAAGGACCCAGGTTGTTGGGGGCAATATAATGACTGTGTAAACTGCTTAGGGAGGGCTGTCAAATATTGTGAAGCGACATATAAGTCTAAGTGCTATTGCTGTCTATCACCTTTCTAGCTATATTCTTCAGCAAAAGGTGGCTGCTGTCCACCAACCTGGACTTAGAGACGGCCACAGATTAAATAAGGCTTCCATTTTGAAAAAAACCCAAATCTGAGAATGTTCGGCACCTGAAACAGGTGAGCGCAAACATCTACGCGACCTGAGATTGAATTTCTCCCCCAAGGCGGAGCCAGGGTGGTGGAAAATGTTTTGCTCTGCTCTGATTTCAACCTGCCGCTCCTCCCTCCCCACTGTGGTCATTTCAGGGTCCCCAGCGGCTCTCGCTCTCCGCAAAGAAGAAGCTGTGGCTAATTCGGCACTCGAATGGCCTCCACAGACTTTGCCCTGTCGGTTTTCCCAGCTGTGCCTTCGCTCTGCTGTGCAAACACCGGGCTGGGTTTCTGTCCGTCCCCCGCAAAAACTCTTTAAAAAGCCATTTACGGAGTCGTCACTGATGATTTATCCCGCGTTGAGCAGGAAAGGATGGAGATGAAAGGCAGCTGCAGCAGAGCAAGTGGGCAAGAGTTTATTCAGGGGAGGGGGAAAGGGGATTTGCAGGTGAAGGGGAGCTCCGAACGGCCCCTGCCTCCCATTCCTTGGGAACCTCTCCCATTTCTGGTGTCCCTCTGGGCAGGGTTCGGAAAACGTTGCCACCCTCCAGTTGGCAAAGTGGCCTTTGATCTTTCTTGCCAGCCATTCAGGGATGATGCATGCACGTTCCCCTGCCCACAAGTCCTTGAAATTAAGCCAGCCACCTCAGAGGCTTGTGAGGGAGAGAGGGTTATTACAGTTGCACATAGAATAGCAATAGCAATAGCCGTTAGACTTATATACCGCTTCATGGGGCTTTCAGCCCTCTCTAAGCGCTTTACAGAGTCAGCCTCTTGCCCCCAACAACAATCCGGGTCCTACTTTCTCTATTACTATTTAAAATACCAGCTTCAATTTCACAAAAGGCTCCCTTTCTTTTTTAGCTGCGTCACAAGATGGCGATCTCGTAGCTTTTGTGTTTGATCTGACGCAGCTAGCTGACCCTTCCCTCCTGAAGGCTTCTCCGTACTAACTGCTAAAAGATTATCTGAGGGGAGCACAGACTTTGATTTT